TGAACTTGAATTACAGGAGCGAAACGCTTGAAAATATGAAAAATTGCTAATACAAAACCATGTGCTTGACAGTCGACAGGATATATACCATTACAATTTCACACTCAAAACGTCCAGATTTCATTGTTCCGATCTAATGCAACGTAACCAAACGTTCAAATATTAAACATAAAGAAATGTGTTAAAGTTATCAAGTTTTACGGTTGAATGAGAATAATATAAACATTCATATAATATCAATACCTCTACATCGTGTCTTTGTCCATTTCGACTATGGCTTAGCGGGAATTTGTAAAATATCCCTAATTCACCCCCAGTCTGCATTTTATCCTCAGTCTGCATTTTACACCCCCAGTCTGCATTTTGTACCCGGTCTGCAGTCTGCAGATTATACTGACCGCTTACGGTAGCCATTAATTTTGGAGGTTGGTAAATTCGTTCTTAATTAAAGTTTTTTGTAACAGGTTAGCGAGAAAACATTTCGACAAGCTAGTTTACAAGCGAGATCTTGCTGATTTATGAAAATCCTGAAAAGTTACACTGCGGCGCTATACCATGCCCAAAATAAGCAGTTTGTGGAAAAATATTGAAAGCATGTGTGCTATCATACCCTCGATTCCAGAGCCTTCGACAATAAATAATAAATTGAAACATCGCGAAGGCTCTGGTTCAAAGGGAAGATTCTTTGATTAAACTGCGCCAATCACAAAACAGAATTAGTGGTTTTAGTAATTAGTACAGATTCTGTACTAACAGCACTAATTCTGTTCTGTGATTGACACGGTTCATAAATCAAAGAATCTTCCTGTTGAACCAGAGCTTTGGCAATGTTTCAATTTGTTATTTGCTGTCAAAGGCTTTGGAATCCAGGGTAGTGCTATCGTAACAAAAGAGGAACATTTGTTTGCTTTTTGAAATGAAATAGAACATATAATTATATCATTTTAATGACTTGCTTCCGATTTTCAGAGAGGTCTTGGAAACATTACTAATTGTTGATACTTTTGAAATATTCAGCAACTTGCCGATGAAATTTTTATAAAATATTGCCATAAAATATATAACATTCTAAGGCTATATATATATTGATACTATTGATACTATAGTGCTGTTCCAACGTACAATAATGTGAAAAAAAGAAAAGAAAAAAAGAGATGAAAAAGTTTTTTCATCAAGTGAGAAAAATTTCCGGAGAAACTTTCCAAAATTGTTGTCGCTCCAATATTGTTTAGGTCCATTTTTTTAAGTATTTTATAAAGCGTATGCTATGTATGTGCTAAGAAGCTAGTTTTGTTGGCATGTGGAAAGCAAAAGTAGCGAAGGTAAAGAGATTAAAATTGGATTTAGTGCGTATTTTTGAAAAAAATTTACCACCAAATATGGTAGTCCCCCCCCCCGTCGATGACACTTGTGACGTCAGGTACATACGGGACTTTGGGGGCGGGTTTTGGCGGGAAAATCTGTAATGTTTGGAGAAGACAAGATGGCGCTGGTTACCTCGTGTCTTATCAAAGGGCATTTTTGTTCACAAATACCCGCTTATTTTACGTTATAGCGACTGGTTCGTTTTGGAAATTATAACTCAATGGACGGGGAAAATGATTCTGTATTAAAGAGAAAGTGATGTGCAGTTATTGTGATGTTATTTGTTGTGAAAGACGGCCCGAAATTTCGCTACTTCGCAGTACTGGTTTATAAAACATTTACAAGCAACAGCAATTGAACTATATGACAAAGAAACCAATGTATACAAGCCAGTCAAGTTCTTCAGTTTAAAGGTCTGTTTACTTTTTAATAATTAGTTCATTTAGTTGTACATTAATACGAAGTACTGGAACAGTACGCCTAATCACAGAATAGGAAGGTATACCGTATTTACTCGTTTAAGCGCCGCGGCGCTCTTTAAATTTTCAGAGCTTCAGATGCGGCGGTCATTCGGGGGCGGCGCTCTTTAAAAAATATTTTATTTGTGAATTATGACAAGAACTTTTAACTATAAAATAGACAAGTTTTAAAAGGTTTTCGTTACTAAATGTCCCCATTTTGACACTGTTTAGTGCGGCGCTCTTTTAAAAAAAATGATCTCAAATGCGGCGCTCATTCGGGGGCGGTGCTCAATCGGGGGCGGCGCTCAAATGAGTAAATACGGTACCCATTGAACTAAAAATAACTGGAACAATACCTCCAGCCGGAAATGCGAAGCCATGCCCAGGCATGCCCACTGTTGTCATGCCCAGTCTTTTCACGTAACGAAAATGAACGCGGGTTTTTTAAATTTCCAAAACTGGGTAAAAAAATGCGCTAAAACATGATTTAAAACGACGTAAAATGCATCTACCAGTACATTTTTTACAATAAAAACATCCTTCAAAACTCTAGAGTAAAATATTTTTAATTTATTTGTGTAGAATTCATAATTAAATTTCCTTTTTTGAAAAAAGACGTTGAGCGAGGAGTGGAGCTTGCCGTGGTCTAATCATAAGTATTTGTGTGAATTTCCCTATTTTGCTCATTCGTTTTCCAATTTATTCATCTGAAAGTTAGGAAAAAAGGTATTCTAACAAGATCAAACTACCAACCACAGTTTAATTATGTTTTGTAGTAGAGTATTTAAGTTTTAAAGGTACAAAATAACAAATATAAACATTAAAGACATTAAGAAAGTTTTTTTCGCGGACAAGTATTTCATGTCGCGATTATTCACGTTCGGCAAGAAATACACAGAACAAGTCGTCAACGAAGGCAAACAAAGTGATAGATACAGATTAATACAAAAATATAGCTTAAAACCCTAAATAAACGACAATTTTCGATCCATTTGTCCGAGAAAAAACATTCAGTCACTTCGCCGTAATGGTCTCGCGAGAATGTCTCGCAACACAAACGCGCGTGTCTGGAGGTAGAACACGCGCGGCTGGAGGTAAAATTTGGCTTCATCCGATCATAAGCCAATCCTATTGGAGGTAGCGTTCCAGGTATTTTTAGTTCACTGGGTATACCAGAAGCGTAACTCAAGCAAGTATTTGTCCGCGTTTTTACAAGCGATTCGTCATCAATCACGCCATCCTGGCTAGTACAACCGGCACTTTGTACCTACCAAAACCAGTGAACTCTCTCTCTCTCTATATATATATATCTGGAATGATAACAGTGAGCGAAAAGTGAAGCCAACAAAAAAAATCACGACATAAGTATTCGTCATTGTCTTCGTCATCAACTGTTCAAGAACAATCACTTACATATAAAATTTGTAATTGTTTTGAAAGTTTTTATCACAGTTTTTATATCTTTATTCACTTTTAACCTGAAGATGGAGTTATACTACGAAACGTAGTTATTAAAATGATTTTTTACTAAGCCCATATGGTCTAATTTATATTCAAACACACATACATATTCATTTACATTTTGCTGGCAGGCAAATTCCGATCACACAATAAATTCTTTAAAAAATAACGTACTAGTGTATTGACTAAAAACTATAAAACTGGTAAACTAAAAAACAATTCAAACAATCGCGAAAAATGGCAAAGTCACAGTTGCAAGTCAATTTACCTACCTGTGAAATGAAATTTTCCTCGCAAGAATATCTCTTTCCTTGTGCATCCAGAACGACACAATATATTTGAAAAAGCCTATTTTCTCCACACGGGGAAGTTTTCCTCGACTTTTTTCCGACAGCGAACTCAATGCAGTAAATTTTAGGAGCAAAACAGTTTGCTCCTAAAATGTATTGCATTGAATTGGCCATGCTTTTAATTTTTTTTCGTGATTGCGTTCAAATTTATACTGGCCGTGCAACGATATTATATATATATATATATATATATATATATATATATATATATATATATATATATATATATATATATATATTCACTGACCAAAACCTGATAAAAACTTCCGGCTGTACTAGCCAGGATGGCGTGGATTGGCGTGAGCGAGTTAAAATTTTCGTGGACGTAAAACAATAAGGGAAACGACTAGAGTTACGCTTCTGCTCTATCTTCTTTATTCTGTGGCCTAGTTTGGTTTTGCTATTTGTACTGACTACTGTAGTTGGAATATTTAAGATAAGGTATGGATAAACAGACCCCAACCCCTTCCTTAACCAATAAATGTGCAATGAACTATTTGAGAGTTAGAAAGGTCGGGGGGAAAAATTTACAAATATTTTAAGAAACATTTCTACGGGGCTGTTTATATGGAAGTATGCCGCCAGGGTGGAAAGTTTGTAGGTTGCGCCGAAGATCTTCGGCGTGGAAAATTCATAAATTTGCTCCATTTTGGCGCAGAATTATGGGAAAACGAACTGGCGTGGCGCACTGGCGTACAAAAAATATTTTCTTGCTCACACTACAACGTTCTGAACCATTTATGTCTGTATTTCAGTAATTTAATAAAGGGAATTTGATTGAGCACTGACTGACCGTATTTCAAATGTTTAGTATCTGTTCTGTCTCATTCTAAAAGTGTTGATATTGCAACTCGGCGGCGCATGTGAACATGTTTTTTGTGCAGCCACTGGTGCATGTTACTGAACCTTGATCAAATCTTCGGCGCACAAGAAACAAACTTTCCACCCTGGAAGCAGGGCTGGCCTGCTAAACGAGATAGCCCAGTTAGCGGGATGAATTTTGCTTGCGTTTATGAGATTTTATCCTGCTTGCTGTGCTAGAAATTGTTTACATTGCACTCAATAGGCAATTCCAGCTTTTAGTTTATGCCTGCAGGGGATGATGGGAAGTAAGGTATCATACACTGCAAAAAATCCAGTTCTCGATTTGAGTAAAATGACTCAAAAATTGAGTCACCATACTCACGTCTTGAGTAAATTGAAACTGTTACTCAAATAACTGAGTACAAATACTCACATCTAAGAGTAAACACCATTTGCGAGTAATTTTACTCAATCATGCGAGTAAAAGAATACTCACAATATTGAGTAAAAATTTATCTTGAGTCATTTTAACCAACAACATGAGTAAACTGACTCAAAATGATGAATCATTTACTCAAGCACAAACATAATACTGTTTTTGAGTAAAATTACTCATACATTTGAGTAATTTGAACTCCATTACTCAAAAGTTGAGTGAAGTCAACAAAATGTCAAAACAACTTACTCACACTTACTCATAGCATGAGTAGTTTTACTCAAACTTACTCATGGCATGAGTAGTTTACTGACGCTTACTCATGGCATGAGTAGTTTTACTCAGGCTTACTCATGGCATGAGTAGTTTACTGACGCTTACTCATGGCATGAGTAGTTTTACTCAGGCTTACTCATGGCGTGAGTAGTTTACTGACGCTTACTCATGGCACGAGTAGTTTTACTCAGACTTACTCATGGCATGAGTAGTTTTACTCAGGCTTACTCATGGCATGAGTAGTTTTACTCAGACTTACTCATGGCATGAGTAGTTTACTGACGCTTACTCATGGCATGAGTAGTTTTACTCAGGCTTACTCATGGCTTGAGTAGTTTACTGACGCTTACTCATGGCATGAGTAGTTTTACTCAGACTTACTCATGGAATGAGTAGTTTGCTGACACTTACTCATGGCACGAGTAGTTTTACTCAAACTTACTGATGGCATGAGTAGTTTACTGACACTTACTCACGGCATGAGTAGTTTTACTCAGACTTACTGATGGCATGAGTAGTTTACTGACGTTTACTCATGGCATGAGTAGTTTTACTCAAACTTACTCATGGCATGACTAGTTTACTGACACTTACTCATGCCATGAGTAGTTTTACTTAACCCATTAAGCGCCAGCACTTTCCCCTTGCCGAGTAAAATCGTCTGGCGTTAGACAGAGTAAAATACTAAAGTAGGGTGCATCAGGGTGCAATACAACTCAATGGGTTAAACTTGCTCATGGGATGAGTAGTTTTACAAATTACTCACACTTACTCATGACATCAGTAATTTAACTCAAACTTGCTCATGGCAGGAGCTGCAATAAAAGCAAGTTTATACGTGCCCATAGGCATTATAAACTTAAGTTAATGAAACAAGCGTTCGGATATAACCAAAGTTGTGCAAAGTCCTTTGATTTGACCAGGTTAGGCACAAAGGTCAGTCTTAAAACGCGTGATCACTCACGTGCAAAGCACTCGGTAAATAACAATGAACCACTGTCAAACACTTCTTCCCATGCATGTGGGAAAATAGACCAATCAGGTCCAACTGTTTTGTTTGCTTATGCTTCCTGCCTGGGCTACAGGCTTCATTGTGTTGCCGGTGAGCCAAAGTGAAGGACACTTCACAGCGAAAAAATTGCTTAAATTTGTAATATATCTCTCACGAGGCAATGCCTCCCGCCCGACGCCAACGCACAGCTGTACAACAACGCGCAGAGAATGCAAATCAGCCATCGGTAAACGATCTTCGACAACAATGTCTAGAAAAAGGTTTATCTGACCATGGTCGTCGAAATACGCTGGTCGCGAGACTGCAACAACATGCTTCAACGTCGTCGACGAACAATACCGCCACAGAAGCAGCGACAATTGTTGATATTGCGAACAACAGCGAGCAAACACCACTCGTCGAGCGAAGATCTGTGTCACACGAAAGCTCAAACGAAAACCCTCTGCTGAACGACGCTCAGTTGGCCCAAATCCAATCAATCGTCGCGAAGACGGTCGAACAATCGGTGAACGATATCGCAACAAACGCCGCTCGTGCTGCAGTACAAGCCATGGCAACTGCGCCTTCGTCAGCGCCTACGAATGAGCCACAACAAACCACGGGCATGGAGCTTTGCCCAGTGTTGATAAACCACACCACGCCAATCTCGACGCCAAGGTTCCAAACGTTCGAGCCTGAAGCGCCACATTCCTCTTCGCAGAGTCTTCCCGCTAGTAATCATCTCCCATACGGACAATCTTTCCACGACCTACCGGCATCGTACGTGAAGAAGATCCAGTCGGGTGAGTTTTTTGAGCTGTCAAAACTTTTGCCAAAAAATTTATGCAATACGGTAGATGAACAGCCCGTTGTACTAACGGTCGAAAACTCTATTGTTAAAGTTAAGCAGTCCACTCAGTCCACAACAAATATCACGGACATTGATAAGTGGACA